GTCTGTTGCAAAGCTGGGAAAGGTGGCGAAACAGGCGACAGCCCCCTGCAAGCAGCTCAGATGGGCTGAAACCTTGAAACTTAAACCCTAGAGCCCTAAACGCTACAGCATTATCGCGCTAAACAGCCGCTGAACTTTAAGCTGTCAAGCCCTAAAGCCCTAAGCCCCAAACCACCCTGCAAGCCTACACCATATTCCTAAACCTGAAAATCCGAAACGGACCCTGAACCCTAACCCCAAAGCCCTAAGCCCTAAACCCTAAACCCTAACCCCAAAGCCCTAAATCCTGAAACCCAGGGCTACGATCCGATGCCGTCTCCCTTGCCGCTGGCGTCTCCGATCCCTCAGCAGACTCCCGGCTCTGAGGGTTGAAACAGGGGTCTTACACAGGGTTTAGGGTTTAGGGTTTAGGGTTTAGGGGCCTTATACAGGGTTTCATAGGATAGTCTGTGAGGTTTCTGCATGGCGTTTGAGTTTAGATCAGGAGTTTTTGGAATTAAATTGTAGGTCTTTGGTGTTTATGGGTTTCGGTTTTGGTGGTTGGAGGTGTCTTGTTTCTGGTACAAAGCTCAGGGTTTTGAGTTTAGATTGTAGGTATGTGGGTTCCGAAACAACAGCCTTTATTAATGTAATCCCGAAGCCCTATATCCCTCAACCTCAAACTCACTCAACATTCTGAACCCGTAAGTACGATCCTCATCGCCCAACGACTCGTGCGATGCTAGATGCGTCTGTAGCCAAACATTGGTTTCAGGTCTTTGGGTTTCGGGGTCGTGTGATTATGATTGCGCAATCCTTTTTTGTATACTTTTCACCGAATGATGACCTGGATAGCTATGACTACAACTGGCTGATTGGGTAATCAGCACGCCGAGACTTGGCACACTAAACTCCTTTTCGAACCCTCAGGCCCAAACAGGATTACCTCCACCCTTAGCAGCAGCATAGCCTAGCTTCAATCACGGTCACGAACACCAGTTTTGCATCCAGTGTCGTACTCGGTGTCGTGATGATTGAGAACTGGTTTTGCCCGCTCGAAAAATCACGAGGCTGCAGTGAAGCGACTTGAGGTGCAGTTGCACCCAAGCCGCCGCAAGGATGCAGGCGATTGGCCCGGTGCAAACGATGTCGGCAACCCCATCATGTTGGAGCTCCTGGTATCGTTTGCCCGGGGCCAATCGCGTGTGTCCTTGGCTGGACTTGTTCAAAGTGCATCTGAAACTGAGCATTAAGTTCGTAGGAGGGCAAAGTATTTCTGTTCTGACATGTCAAAGATCAAACTGAAACATCGCACGGCACCGGAGCCCCGAGGGGGTCTGCTATCGCACCTGGGCACTCTGCGAGCCTTACCTATAACGTGGCCAGGATCAGCTCCATCATGATGGGGTCTCCGATATCGTTTTCACGGGACCAATCGCGTGCAGACTCTACGTGCGCAAACAAGACCTCCCGCCACTGGGGTCTTCACGGATACTTTGCCTAAAAGTCCGACACATTCTGGGGCGAAGCACTTCAGCGGCTGGAGTCTTCGATAATCATGACTTGAACACAACACATCTGACAGCAGGGCTCTTGTGCCAACACCTGCACACTCACGCTCTTCGAGACGAGAGAAGTAGGGATCTTATATACGGTTCCGCAAGTTCGATCCGTAGGACTGCTCGGATTTCATTGAAGTTTGAACAGATGGAGGTTCTTCGCCCTCAAGTTTTCTGAGATAACCCAGAATTTGGAGTCTTTGGCCACAACCACAGAAACACGAGAATCCCTATGAAATCCTTCAATTTCTAGAACTCTCAAAAGCTTTCATGAAACCTTATGACGCATGACGCCCTAAACCCTATAAACCCTAAACCCTAAACCCTACCGTCTAGAACCCCTGGACAACCCGAAGCCTGGATCTCGTAGCACAACCCGACACCCCGCCCCTTGAAATCCTTTCACTCCGACGTCCCATGAATCCCAGTACCTATAGTAGAACCAGAAAGTTGGAACATCAATATCCTCGTGCCCCTAATATAGAGTATAGGGGATTCTAGCACCAATCCTCCTAAACCCATGTTCCAACTTTCTGGGGTTCACTGTAAGTAAAAGGTAAATGCCATCAAATCGGAGTAGCCAAGCCCTGAGTACCTGGGCAAAAATCTTTTACAGAACCCTTCGAGAAACCCTAAACCATGAGCCTAAAAGCCGAAGGCCTCAGCCTCAGTCTGGATGGGAGATACCAGAGTGTCTGGAAGTGGGGGACCCCAAATCACAGAGCCGTTTTCAAGAGACATCCGAAAGGAGGAAGCCTCCATGTTGCAAGCAACAAGCAAACTTTTTCGTCGACCCGCCCGAAAAGTTTAAATTGTTTACATGAATCCCAAATCCAACATAGAAGCCCTCAGCGCTACAGCCGAAAATCACAACACCTTATAAGCGTAAATCCACGCACCTCAAACCTCCATTCCTAAACGCCCCATGTTTTAAGCCTACTTGCGGTTTTTCAAGTTATGTTCAGGTCTGCCAGGGCTTGCGCAGTCCACTGCGAGGCTAGGGATGCGGCTTCGGGGGACGCGTTGGAGGACCCCATTACTTAGTTCCCCGATACCCAACCTTTAAACTTTTTGGGTTCTTACAATTAGTAGCAATCTGAAAGTTTAACCTTTTATTTCCCTGGCTTATTGGTGAAGTATGATTATCATAACACTACAAAACCTTCACTATGTGTAGTCCATAACAATGCCTGCAGATTTCGGGCCTGGGGTTTGAGAGTTTTGGGGAACCCCATGGCGTAGAATAAAATCATTATACAAGACTCCATGACTAAACCCTAAACCCTAAACCCTAAACCCTATAAACCCTAAACCCTAAACTCTGAAGCCCTGTTAAGTCCCTAAACCCTTTCTGCCTTGCCGGAGGTGTCCAGCGGCTGTGGAGCCTTTGCATTCGATGCCACCACGGGGCTCTGTGGCATCGCGAGTGCACCCGAGGCCGTGGCCTAGCGGTTTGTGTCTTGGGCGGCTTCGCGTGTTTGGGGGTCTGGAACTCTATGGATTTTCAGCTTTATGGTTTGGAGATGTCTAGGGCTCAGGGATTTAAGGTATAGGGTTGGGCGTGGAGTTTTGGGGCTTACGGCTTGGGGGATATGCTCTTGATTTTTTTTGGGGTTATGCTCTCCAATACTATACAGATTTCGTGTTTGCCGAAGCCAGAATTGTCCTGAGTTGGTAGATCCTGAGTTTTTATTTTGGCCTTGGGGCAGGAAATTAGGGTTCAACAGGTCGACCTTGTTGCGACTGTGGGGTGTCGGGAAGCTGTCGGGGCTTCAGTTTAGGATTGACTTCAAGTGTAGGGGCAAAGTGGTGGATAGGGGATGCATTTAGTGAGCTAGACGTGCTGGTCTGTGGTGTTTTGTACAGGTTTTCTTTGGGGTTTCTAAGGTGTCTTGGGAAAGCTGCACAACTACGATAGGGGCCTGCTATTCCTGAGGGTTCCTTACCATACTTCATGGTCTCTCATACACCCGAAACTTAGTAGCTGCGTGGATACACTTTACACTTTGTGGGATAGTCTTACCCACAATAAAACTGAAAGTGTAGGCTTATGAACTCAGCAACTAAGGAAACGCTCTTCTGCTTCTGAAGGGCCCTATATGAAGTGGCTCATGCCCCACTCCACAACTTTACCCATTTTCCACCCTTCGTTTCTGCACGGCCCATACCTTGAAACCCAGAGGCTTCGAGACTGCTCCATGACCCGAGGGTTGGGTTTTGGGTTTAGGGGTTTCGGATTTTGGGTTTTGGGGTTTTGGGGTTNNTAGGGGTTTGGGTTTAGGGTTTAAGAATTCGGGTCTACGGTTTTTTTCAGTGTTCAGGGCTCAGGCTTGGAGGCTTTGGATTTCGGCTGGTGGCAATAACAAGGGTTTGATTTAGGTTTCGAAAATTCGTTCTTACGATACGAGTCCAGCTGTGTTCTGATAGCGTGAACGTTTTATCACTTGGGTATTGGGGGGCAGAGCACGGGTGAGAAAGTTGAAGCGAAAACACGGCACTTGCGGGGTTCGCTTGGTTCTTGAGACACGCTTTTAGGACCCGAGATTTCAGCCGTTCTTGGAATCCATGGATTCGGATTTCTGTGCCATATGGATTCCCTGAGAAGCGCTCCGCAGTGTACTGGCCCTGCACCTTAAACTTAAACTTAAGCTTAAGCCCTACCCTTTACCCTAAACCCTTACCTAGGCCCTAAAACCCTGAACCCGTGACTCGCAGGACCAGGACAAATTTCGTACAACAAACCCTGAGCCCGACACCTCCAACCCCCTGCACTCTACACCAACCGTAACCTGGGGTACACGACGAGTCTGTTGCTGTGCAGGGCGATGGATCCTGGCCTGTGCATCTTGGCTGCAGCTTTCGAAAGCTGTGGCGGGTTCCTCTTTTGGGTTGCGATACGGGTTACCATGAGGCTTGCTATGAGCAAGGCGGTCTCAAGACTTAGTAGATATGAGCCTACATTGGCTTTTCTAGCGGCGTTCAGGGCCATTGCATGCGGATGCAGTTGAATAATATCCCCCCTATGGCACCGAGATACTCGTAGTTCAAAACATCCCTGAACTCTAAGCTTAATGCCCCCCCCCCCATTGGGTCTATGGTGGTTTGAGCTTANNCCCCCCCCCCCCCCCGCTGTGTTTAGAGTCAAGTTTTTAGGGTAAGTTGGTTTGGCCACCCATACTGGAACCCGTAATGATGAAACTAGGGCCCAGGGGTGTATTTATAGTACAATGATATGGGGGCAACTATTATACATCATTCTATTCCGAGCCCTATAGCGTCAAGATTAGGAAGGTCGCGATGTAGGTGTATTTGGGAGAGTATATGATGAGAAATGCCGCAGCCCACATCCCCAAAGCCTTCACTGCAAAACTCTTGGCCTTGATCCTGCTTCCAGCAAGCTCTAAACCTCAAATCCTAAACCCTAAACCCCGCCCAAAATGGGTTTTGGAGCGCAAGCAACAGAAAAAGGCCCTTAAAAAAACAACCTAAACCCTAAAAGCAAGAAGTCCTCCATCCTAATCCGACACCTCCTATCACCATCGGCGACCTGGATCTTGGTTATTAGGGATCCAGGGTCTACATTATGACTTGCACATTCTCTCTACAAACCCTTATCCTAAGCTATTCTGCTCGAAGAAGCCCCTATCAACCCTCATCAAGCTCCATAAGACCTTACTCGTCTCCAACGGCTAAACCCCTAAACCCTAAATCCTATGTTAGCTTCTAAACTCGAGTACACCCTGCCCACGGGTCCCCCAGGTCAACAGACCCTGGATCGATCCATTACACGTTTGGAGCCCCGGTGGGTTTGAGGTTTAGGGTGTTTAGGGTGTTTAGGGTTTAGGATGCGGGTTTGGGGTTTAGGGTTTAGGATTCCGGATTTATAGGGTTCAGGGGCTCGGTGTTGCACAGCTTCGGGTTTTGAGAGTCTTTGAGGTTAATAGGTTCTGCAGAGTTTTTCAGGTTCTTTGCAGATTCTGCATGTCGGTGGGGGGGCTCCGGTTCGGTTCAGGTTGGCAGAAGGTTCTTTCGAAATAAGCTTCTCTGTCAGTTGACAGGTAGTGGGATCTTGAAAATGGCTATCATGCTGAACAGTTGTCATATGCAGGTGTTGTCCGTCATGTAGGGGTGTGAATATTTCGCCTCTATTGATCCTACATGATGGCAGTGCGGTACAGCAGATCCCAAACCCATGGCCTTCCATTCGGATTGAAGGCTTTACAACTCTGTGATGTTGGTTTCAGGGCTCGGGGATTTGAATTTCTGGTTGCGATGTGGGCTGTGGGACTCGGGGTTCGTGCTTTTGGGATCAGGTTTCTTGAGTTCGGGGACCGAGATTCTCGGCGGTTGTTGTGGGCTATCCGATTATCCACTTTAAACATCGCACGTATACATCTTAGACTAGCTTCAAGGCCCCAAAATACGTGACCCTAAATTCCAAAACTCAAATCTCGATAGCTCCAAAACCTAGCCCCGAACTTCAGAACAGCCCACCAGCAACAGCTTTGTCTCGTTCATGGTAGAGTCGGAATTCAGGGTGTAGTGTTTGGCAGTGAACCCCCTCGCTTCAGCATTTTGAGGATTCAGGCTTGAGGCTCAACGGTTGTCAGCAAGCGCCGGAAGTTAACAGAACTTGCAAGCCTTGGCAACCACGCGCATTAAGTTACAGGATCAACAACAACGTAGTCAGTATCAAAACACTGAAATTAAACAGGATCAAGACAAGAACTGACTCCCAACTTATGCTCCACTGCTCCCTGTCCTAACTACGGTTACTTTTATTACTTACACGGTTGAGTAGTATTAGTCTTAGTCGCTTTTGCTGGTGCTACAACCCTTACTGTGTTGATTATCCTCATTGTTCTTACCACTACGACGACGATTGAAAACACGACGAAATCGTTTTCCGCCAAGTACTGGCGCGTTTCGGGCGCAGGCGATTTGTGTTTCCCCACCTAGGCTTCCCGCATTCAGAGGAACAACCGGAATCGCTCCCCCCAAGTTCTGCTGCGGTTCAAAGTTGTCGAGAGCAAAAAGTGGTCAATGTCGTCTTATTCACAATGAATCCTGGCCTCCGGGCGCGCGCGGCAAGCGAATCCTCTGCAAATATTAGGACGTCAGCGCAAACCTATGCACCGCACCACGGCGGCAGACGCGCACCGCAAGCATTTTGCGTATAAGATATGACACAGGGATCCGATACGCAGCATCTGCTGCAACTAACAGGAGGTGCGCTGCTTCTTTTTGGTTCCTGAAGTGGGACATAATTTCTGTATGTTACTGTTTAAACTGTTATTTGATTTCTCGGGTGCCTCAAGCCCTAGGGTGGGGGAGTTGCATCGACAGTTGATGTGGACAACTGCTTTTGCCCGCGGCAAGGCGGCTGCCTCAATAGCTGTGCTTCTCAACAGGTGTGCTTCGTCATGTTGAACTGCTGAACTACGGTAGGGGAGTTGCGCCGAGAGTGGATTGTGGGGTGCTTCGGCATCCTGCAAGACGCCGCCTGAATTCCTGACAGCTGCCCTTGCCTAGGGTTGGAGAGTTGCATAGAAAGTTAATATGCACATTTGCCTTTGCCAACGGTAGCAGTCTCAAGAGGGCAAGGAGCTGATGAGGGTAAATGCCTCAATAGGTGTGCTTCGAAGTGCTGAACTACGGTAAGATACTTGCTTCCAGAGTGGATTGCTTTTGCCTACGGCAGGATAGCTGCCTCAAGCGATTTGCTTCTACGTGCCTAAATGTGCTTGCCCTTGCCTGGAACTCGGCAGCTGCAGAAAGCCTGTGGCAGTGTGTTGCAATCTTTTGGAAATGGCCCGTTCACGCACGCGGAGGGGAAGGTCCGGTTGGACTGCCGAGAGCTAGAATCAGAGCGTGCCCATTTTCGATTCCTGCGACATCGATCCTGCGGGGTGGTTTTTTGGAGCCGGAACCCCGGCAGTGTGACTTTGCTTGGATGGCAGGTTTATTTTTCCCACGAAGCTACAAGTCGAAAGTTGGCAGAGTTCGTCTATTTCGCATGGCTTCCAGATTCCACCTGGCAGTGTTTGGCTCTACTCGCGGCCCTTCTGGCCACCTTTCTCTCCTTCTGCCTGGTCTCACTCATAGCCAGCATGGGGCAGTCGCCTTTTTTTCTTGTATGACCGATGCATGCTGACAGAACTCAACCCGGCAGATCCTGTTTGTGAGATCTCCCACGAAAAGCCGCAACCAAAAAAAAAGAGACAGGGAGAGAGCCACAGCAGTAGGAGCGGGAATTCGTGAGCAGCCGTAATCATATGAAGCTGGTTCATCATGAACACATCATCACTTTTTGCAAGAGAAATTTCTTCATCATACCTTCTGAGTACAGGTGAGGACGAATGCACGGGGCAGCCGCAGGCGACCCAAGCCAGCCAACGTAACAATCTATGAGCTGGGCAGCAGGCTGTTCCCCACTCGCTGCGGCCTGTCCATGTAGCTGCCAAAAGCACACAGATTTGTGCCGGATGGGCAGAGATACCGGTTGAAGAGCGCGGCAGGGAGATTTAGGCCACGCCTTTTGTTTGACAGGGCTGTTGGAAGGCTTGCTGCAGGTCAACCCAGAGAAGCCTTGAGCAGCAGCGGAGGCTGTCGCCCACTTCATCCGACAGAGCTTTGGCGAAAGAGCTCGCAAGCACCGGCAAGTTTGAAAACTTCGCGCTAGCGCACGAGCGGCATGAGCTGGGCAGCGGGCTGTTGCCTTCAGGGCCCGCACTCGCCGCGGCCTGTCTAGTTGCTAAACGCACAGACTTGTGCCGGATGGGCAGAGATACCGGAGATTTAGGCCACAATGCTTTGTTGTTTGACAGGGCTGTTGGAAGGCTTGCTGCAGGTCAGCCCAGAGAAACGTTGAGCGGCAGCGGAGGCTGTCGCCCACTTCATCCGACAGAGCTTGGGCGAACGAGTTCGCAAGCACCGGCAAATTTGCCACACGTCATCCTACGCACACGAGCGGTAGCCTTTCATCCAGCGTGAGTGTCTGGGATGTCGTTATTAAGTCGTTATCTGGGAGTTTGTGAATCAAGCATGCATATATCGCTGGAAGGATTGATGTTGCTAAGCACTCAGACCCCTGATTATTTAACTCCCCCTTTTCTCTACTTAGGGGCCAAGGCTGAACGCTGGGATGGCTCGTGTGACTGTGAGTTTACCAATCACTCAAGCGTCTAAAGGCAGCAAAGTCTTCTGAACCGAAATTGGTTTGGACATCAGGCCCAAAAGTGTAGATGCCTCAAGCCCTTCGACCCTAAACCTTCTTTTGTTTTAAAGGTTGTCCACTTTCACTTTCTTAAGCGAGAACCAGACCCTTCAGCTAGCCTTCACTATGGCGTCATTTCATGATATTTCATGAAACTCCCACCCTTATAGTTCTAGGAACCGTTAAAGGAACCCTATGTCCCTAGCCCTAAGCCCTTTAAAGGAGCTCTTCAGGACCCTCGAGTTCCACAAAAAAATTCCTTGCAGGGTGGTGTGTTCTTGTACTTTCGCAAAAACCTTATAAGGCTCATAAACTTCCCGGCTTCGAATAGAAAAAGTACCCTTACGGGAAGGATTGACAGCATTCTGCCCATACAGCTCTGCCTAAAGCCTATAAAACAACTCGGGAGGTCTTGCAGTCGAGATCCTGCGCAGCTGGATCTTCTCTTGCAGTTGCTTTTGGTGGAGCCTGGGCTAAAACATGCGAAGCATGTTTTGTTTGAGAGCAGTGTCTACGGGTCTATAGAGGGTTCGTCAGAGGCTTGTAAAGGCTTTAATTTATCACGGCTATGTAATGACCCTTATAGAATTCCCAAACCTTCTAGAAGCCCTGAAACATAAACCCTAGACGAAACCCTGAAGCCAGGATTGGCTACCCGCCCACGCACCACTTGCCGAGCCTGGAGCAATGGCTTTGGACAGCACCCGGCGGGATCCGGCTGTTTGGTTATAAAAACATGAAATCAATAGGGCTTAGGGTTTAGCGGGTCTTAAATAAAGGGGATTGGTTTTAGGGTGGGGAGAGTCTGGGGTTTCATGGGGAAGGTATCCTGCTTAATAACTGGACGCTAAGAATTTAGACATATCTGGACATGCAATTATTTTTGTTTGTCCTAGGGCTCCCCGTGGTTGGGTATGTGAATATATCCGCGTTTGAGGTTTGGGGCCTTTGGGCTTAATTAAGGTTTATGTGGTCGGGTGTGGGTTTACTGTTGATGGTATAGGGTTCAGGGTTTGCTTGCCCCAAACCCTAGAAGCCTTAAATGCTTTCGAACAAAGAACAGAAAACCCAACCTCCAAACATCCTACAACAGCTCTAAGCCCTGAACTCTCAAAAGCTACCAGGGGCCTTGGAGAAGCGCAGTTCGTTTGGTAATCCCGACTCACATAGCAGATAGAATCTATGACATTGTGTAGGTTGTATAAGAAAGGGTTGAAGAGTAGAATATGTTCACCATATATGTAGACAAAGCCTTAACATGACCTGATGATAGAACATATTACCGACAACATAACGAAGACCATGAAATGACTATGCTACTTTCGGACATAAATAGTTAAGACTGCACTTGGAAAGGAACGGACTGGGGCTTCGGGTTCATTGCCCGACAAACAATCTGTGCCGATTGGAAGGGATATTTGGTTTCGATGAATTTTTGGTCTCGAAGATTCCAAAACAACTAAACCGACATTGAGATTAAAATAACAATTCAGTAGCTGTTCTTGCTAAGGGTTCTTGCTTTTGCTTATAGTGTCTTATATAGTGTAGCCCAGGTCCGATGTTGCGGCCCCGGTAGTAACCTGAATAACATTTATCAATATCCAAGCAAACTCTGTAACACCTCGTCAGACAGCTTGTTCTATTTTATCAGGGCCCCTACCGCAGCTGCTTTGGGCAATTTGGTGTGTTATGGGAACCCTGAACCCAAAACCCTAAAACCGTTCACCCTAATGAGCCATGGGGTCGGACACTTCGGCAGCGGAAACGGGCCCGAAACGAAAGCACGGATAAACTAAGCCGTGATGGGGAGGCAACTCCTTTATTTTTGCGACGCTGGCAACAACAAGATCAAAGTCTTGGCATCTTGGCACACCTTGGTTATCCTCCGGATCATCCTCCCTGTTTTTGTTCTCCTCGAAATCTGATCATCCTCTTTTTTATCCTCCTCATTATCCTCCGGTTCATCCTCCCTGTTTTTTCATTGGAATTACCGTCCTTTTTATCCTCGAGGGGAGGGGACGGAGGGAGGGGAGGGAGGGAGGGAGGGAGGTCGCAATCTGGACCTCAAATTTAACCAAAATTGACCTCGCTTCTAGCAGTTTTGCTCATTTTCATTAAAACTTAATGAAAGCAGGCAAAAATGCCAGGAGGGAGGTACATTGTAGGTAATTTGAGGTCGCAATCTGGACCTCGAATTTACCTAAAAATTACCTCCTTCCTAGGATTGTTTCGCGCTTTCATTAACATTAATGAAACTGAGGAAAAACATGCTAGAAGGGAGGTCAAATTTAAGTAATCATTTTCATTGAAACTTAATGACAATGAGCAAAAATTCCAGGAGGGAGGTAAATTTTAGGTAAATTTGAGGTCCAGATTGCGATTTCAAATTTGCCTAAAATTTACCTCCCTCCTAGCATTTTTCCTTGTTTTAAATAAAAGAGACTTTATGAAAATGCAGAAACATGCTAGGAGAGATGTAATTTTTAAGGCAAATTCGAGTTTCAGATAGCGACTTCCAATTTACGTAAAATTTACCTCAGTGCTAGCATTTTGGCCTATTTTCAATAAGTTTTGAACGAAAATGAGGAAAACTGCTGGGAGTTAGGTAAATTTTGTGTAAATTTGGGATTGCGACCTCAAATTTGCCTCCTTCCTAGCATTTTTGCCTATGTTCATTAAGTTTTTTATTGAAAATGCGCAAAATGGCTCAGAAGGAAGTAAATTTTAGGTGAATTTGTGATCCAGACTGCTACTTCAATTTTACCTAACATGTTCCTCACTCCTAGCATTTGTGCTCATGTTCATTAGCAACTTAGTGAACAATAAGCAGGAATGCTAGGAAGGAGGTAAATTCTATGTAAATTTGAGATCCAGATTGCGATTTGCCTTCTCCTAGCATTTTTGCTCATTTTCATCAAAAACTTAATGACAATAGACAAAAATGCGAGGAAGGAGGTAAATTTTAGGTAAATTTGAGGCCGCAATCTGGACCTGAAATTTAACCAAAATTTACCTCCCTCCTAGCATGTTTGCTCATTTTCATAAGCTTTTTTATTCGAAACAAGCAAAAATGCTACGGCTGAGGTAAATTTTGGGTAAATTTGAGGTCGCAATCTGGACTTACCTCCGTCCTAGCATTTTTGCCATTTTTATTAACAACTTAATGAAACTAAGCAAAAATGCATGGAGGGAGGTAGATTTTGAGGTCCAGGTTGCGACATCAAATTTACTTAAAGTTTACCTCCTTCCTAGCATTTGCTCATTTTCATTAAAACGTCATGACAATCAATGAGCAAAAATGCTAGGAGGGAAGTGCATTTTAGGTCGATTTGAGGTCCAGATTGCGACTTCAGATTTACCTAGAAGTTACCTCCTTCCTAGCATTTTTGCTTGTTGTCATTATTCCCCAACAGCGGATACGCTTATGGGGTCTACAATCTGTAAAGCAAAGGCGCGGTGACCAAGGTTCGGAGTACCGGCTTCCAAAAGCGTAAGGGATGTGTGCGCGCCTACTGTAAAAGCTGGCTCTCGTTGTGCGCAATTAAAAATCATCTATCTTGGGGGGCGGCGCGAGATCGCAACAGTCTTTAGG